CTCTTTCCAGTGTTAAAAATGTGCTATGCAGTTTTTGTAGCAGATGTGATTTTTAACAACTTTTTAGTTTGTCGTTATTAAAGCAAGCTGCGTCTCAGAGGCAAAAATTACAGTTGTCTAATTAAACAGTGGAAGCAGTCACCTTTCTTAACAAAACAATTAGCTCTGGGTTCTTACTCACATTTATGTATGGAAGAGTATTGGGCAGAGGTAAAAACAACAGCTGGATAATCCAAAAACAAAATAATCCCAACACCTGTTCTGGGTCAGTTAAAAATGAGTGGCCCTTTATTCACATCCATGTTGCAGGTGACAACAAAGATGACAGCAAATGTCTAGAACGAACAGATATATCCATAACATTTATCTGCAGGCCCACCATGTCCAAGTTTAATATTATGGCTGCCCCTCCAATTTTTGCTGTTTCAAATGCAAAAGTAGTAAAGTTATTTCCCTGTTCAGTTTTACTCCTGTTATAGAGAATGCTGTAAAACTTGTCATGCTACAGGATTTGCACAGGAATGACACAAGGATTCATTAGTTAATGTTTGTAAAGCACCTTGAACGTGAAATGCTCCACCTGTAAAAGTGGCCTCATTATCAGAGGGTCCACTTGACTCACCTTCCACAGAAACTGAAGATTTGAGCCACTTCTATTTCACTATCTATGCAGGGATTGGGATACGCAGTTTTTAGCACCCAAGTCAGTCTGTTTTCCATTTCTAAACGCTTTTGAAACCAGTTTGATTTGCACGTTTCTGACTCCTTAAAAACCAAATATAAAAAATAAAAATCTCTCTCTCTAAACCCTGGCAGAACAACAAGCAAATATTTAAGCAACAAGTAAGTGAATTTGAGCAATATTCTGCTCCGCTAGCTCCCCTGTGTAGTCCTTTTTAAAATCAGAGACAGTACCTGCACAAATCAGGCAAGCAGGGCATAGTTCTAAATACACTGTATTCACTTGATGATCTAGCACTCAGAAATGATAATTACAGGTGCAAGACCAAGCACAAAGGAAAAAATAACCTACTGCTCAACAAAATGGAGCTCACATGGATAACAATGAGACCGGCAACATGAGAGACTGGTGCACCGACGGCTTTAGTCTCTTTCTGTTACTTATGCATCCCACAGAGACAGAAATGAGAGCAGACTGCACGTTAATTAGAGCACTACCATACAGCAAACTGGAAATTATTTAAAAAAACTACTAGCTTGTTGTCTGATAAAGGGTTTAAACCTTGCCAGAAAGCAGAGTTTGACCTTTATTGTACAAACAGAAGTGAATCTCTGGTGTATCTGTATTCCTTTCATACATTAAAAACATAAAGCAAGCATCTCCTTACCAATACCACTATTGCACTTTTTTCTCCCCCTACTTTCAGAAGTATTTATGATGGCAACTGCAAAGAGAATGTGAACATATTAACACAATCTAGGAACTTATTATATATTCATGTCCCTTTTTG